TAAAGCTTTCCCCTTGTGCCTCATGTCCAGTATTGTGATTTTCTTAGGCTGATGGTGTCATTCACTGGTTTTCACAAAGCCAGTCTAGCCTTAGTCATTTTAAAAAGAAACTTCATTCTGGAAGATTCTTGGTACATAGATACCAAATTAGGGACAAAAAGGGGGAGAGATTTTTATAGCAACCCTTGCCTCATTCTCTACAGAAGGAAAAGAGAGCAGCTGTGCTAATTACTAGGGAAGTCATTCCATCCCCAAGAGTGTGTGGGTATTTTCACTGTACAAGACTTGGGGCTGGAGGCCTAGCTGAAAAGGCCCGGGTTTCTCCTTGGAGGGATTAATTCAAATGGGAGAAAACAGATATTTTCTCAAAGAATACCATGGTGTGATGAGTGCTACAACAATATCAGAAATGCTGGTGTACGGCCCTTAGGAGAGGGGGAACTCTCTGGGAGGGTTTGGAAAAGAGCAACATCTGCTGACATGTGCTGACATGGCATGATCTCACCAGAAAGAGTTATTCCAGGAAAAGCACAAGATGAGATTCCCAAGAGCTGTGGGAAGGGAGAAGGGGGCACCATGGGCCTAAGAAGTATCTTTTGCTCACTGGAAACCCTGTGTGACTAGTTGGACACATACCTGAAAGATGATAGGAATCCAAGCCATGAAGCTATCCAAGAGGAAAATAACTGTGATGTCTCGAGTGTCCTCAGGCTGTGAGGGGCTGGCACTGTTCATCTGGTGCTAGCGGAGGGCTGTAGTCGCTGCTCATTGGGAACAAGGTGGGATCATTTCACCTGTTGGAGAGATTCCTGGCATCATTGGAGAATCTCTGGATGCTGAGAAGATCCAGAGCAGGGCAGCAGCTCCCATCTGGGACTGAGATGAGGGTTCTGCCAGCTCTGCCCCAGGCCTGCTCAGGACCTCAGCCAAGTGTGAATGCCTCCTCGAGATCAGTTCCCACATGTAACACAAAGAGAGCCCCGACTTGGTGTCTACAGGCCCTACAACAACCTCCAGGCACATGCTAGCACTCTCTTCATTTTATGCATAGAAAATTGAGGCCCTATGTTACTTTTTTTCATGGAATGGCAGCAATAACCACTACCCTCCATACCCCAGAGACTTGCGGTTATAGACAGCAGAAACCATATGATAGCATTTCTTGAAACCATTAAACATTCTATAAATATAAGGTGACTTTATAGTATCTATTACAGTTCCCAGCAATCAGTTCAGCAAAACACCATTACCTTAGGTGCTCTATTTTAAGATGGACAAAGTGCCACCTTTGAAAGATTGTCAGCTGAACTTTAAAATGACCTTGAATGCTCCTATTCAGGAGATTTCCTGGGAGTGAGTTTCTCTTTAAAATAGAGGGGGGAAAACCCCTCTAGATGAGGTTAAATAACTAAAAGTTTTTAAAATAACCACCCTTGCTTGGGAAGAAACTCTTTAGTGGATGTTTTGGCAGAGAGGCAGAGTTGTTTATATTGATGTGTGCACTATTTATACTCTGGCTCCTGTAGCAGTGGAGAGAGCATTGGGCTGAACCTGAGAACCCAATGGAGTGCCTAAGAGAGATCCAGGGGCAAGTAACATATGATACCCTCAGTCCCAGAGGCCAGAGTAGCCATTCCTGCTGGGAGGCTTGCTAGGATGACAAGCTGGTAACAACTATAGAATAGTGAGTGTCTGTTCTGGTTGGAGTTCAAAGAAGTAGACAGCTGAAACAGTCGTACTCTGGCTGGAGTTCAGAGATGTGCACTATTCTAATCGTGTTTCTAGGCTTGGGAGTGCTCATTCAGCTTCCGCCTTATTGTTCTGCACAATACAATTCGTTTGTATGATGAGTTCAAGTGTTATCCTCACACCTTTTTAAAAAATGTTTTATGTTTGTGTATATGAGTGTTTGTATGTCTGTGTACAACATGTGTGCCTGGTGCCTGCAGACTCCAGAAGAGTGTGTCAGATTCCCTGGAGCTGGAGCAGCACATGGTTGTGAGCCACCATGTGGGTGCTCAGACTCAAACCTGGGTTCTCTGAGAGAGCAACCTGTGCTCTTAACAGCTGAACCATCTCCCCAGGCCACTCCTAGCACCTTTGAGTGATGTGTTTGACCTGAAACACCAAGTGCATAAGGTCAGGTGAGAGAGGAGGATTTCTCACGGTCTGTGGGAATCGTCAAGCTGTGTGTCACTTCCCCATGCTGGACCACGTTTGTGGGAATAACAATTGTACCTTCTTAGTTACTCTTCCAGCACTAATGTACCTACAAATGACTGGTGTCCAACACCTTTCAGGTAGACTTGTACCTGGCACCACAGTGGAATGAATGAAACAGAGTGTCATTCTTTAGTCCCAGTAATTAAAAGGTTAGATAGGAAACTCCTACAATAAACCTTTGTTTCACAAGAACCCTGGAGTCTTTTTTTTAATCACTAGTGTTGGAGGTATGTTCTATTCTTTCTTTGGGAAAAATTCTGTGTTGGTCTTTTTGTGTTACGACAGTGAAATGCCTTGGGCATCTTTATGGCCTTGTAAAGAGCTTTATCTAGCCCCCCTTTTGGAGCCCTGGTAAGAGTCTATGACAGAGGGCCCAGGTATGTGCAGAAACAAGAGCTTGCCTGTGAAGCAGGTAATCCAGAGAGAAACACAGCTTGGGGCCTGTGTAACAACTTGCTCTTTCCAGAACTCACTTTGTGAGACCAATATTCCCTTCTGAGAGTCGGATCTCAGTGACCTAGACCTTCTTACTAGACTGCACCATTTAAAGGTCCCATGAGTTTCTATGCCCTTAACTGTGGACAGCCTCCCAATGCAGCAACTCTTAAGGGCAAACCACACCCAAACAGCAGCAGATACCTCTGTCTCTTACGTACAGGAAGATGGACACCAATGATAGAAAGAACTACTGAGTTTACTTCCATGTTCAGTGAGAAAACTAAGCAACCTTCATCTCTCAGGTTGATCTGTTTGTTGTCGTAAGAATACTTGTTGTGTACCATACATCACTGTTGACTATAGGTACTGTCTTGTACAGCAAGCAGATCTCTAGGTGACAGTCAGCCTGCTTGAATGAAACTCTCTACTTCTATCTCACCACCACAGCCCCTGGGAATCATTGTTCCACTGCTAACTTTATTAACTTGGCCATTTTTTGTTTCCATAATAAGTGGAGTGGCACACTGTTTTTCTGTGGCATCAGTATCCATGTGACATTTAATGCAATGGCACTAGATGAGACTCTAAGGCAAGAAAAACATAGGAAAGTTCAAGGACTCAGGGCTGGGGCAGAAAAGGAGTCTGGGGAAGGGCAGCAGGTGCAAGGTGAGGCGGAGAAAGCCCTGGAAAGAGTTACAGTCCACCGGCCTGGGCTAACAAATGGCACAGGTGGGTTCCGACAGGCAATATGCCGACTCTTGCATGAAGGAAAGAGGGGTTGATGTCTTAGTTGGGGTTTCTATTGCTGCAACAAACACCATGACCAAAAAGCAGGTTGTGGAGGAAAGGGTTTATTCAACAAACTTCCACATTGTTGTTCATCACTGAAGGAAGTCAGGACAGGAACTCAAAACAAGGCAGGATCCTGGAGTCAGGAACTGATGCAGAAGCCACAAAGGGAGCTGCTTAATGTCTTGCTTTCCCTGGCTTGCTCAGCCTCTGTTTTCTTATAGAACTCAGGACCACCAGCCCAGGGACAGCACCACCCACAATGGGCTGAACCCTCCACCATGGATCACTAATTGAGAAAATGCTTTACACCTGCATCTGGTAGAGGCATTTTCTCAACAGGCTTTTTCCTCTCTGATGACTCTAGCTTATGTCAAGTTGATACACAAAATCAACCAGTACAGTTGGCTATCTCAAAGTGTACTGAGAGATCCAGTTAGCTAAGCCCTGAGAACTGACAGTGTGTTTTCCATGTGAAAGTGTTCATTACCCTTGCATGGTGGACTTTAATAGACATTACAGTACATGAAAATGCAGAAGGCAGTTTTGTTCCGGGTCAAGTTGAGCATAGGAGCCCAAGGACCCACCTTCCAGCTCACACTGCCTCTTCCTAGCCAAGGCTCCTCATACCTAGGATCTCAAGAACAGTTTGAAAAACACAGGTGCAAGCCAACACATTTGTCTACATTAAAAAATAAGAAGAAATAGGTTCAAAAAAGGGAGGGCCCTGACTCAAGGCCATGCAAATAGCTGGTGAAAAAAAAAAAATCAGGGTGCAACTTACCACCATTTGATGAAACTTGAGATTAAATCTGTTCCTGCCTATCTTATTCCTGCTCTTCAAGGGCAGTAGTTTTCATGATAAACAGAACAAAGTCTTTGCCCTCTTACATTTCTGTGGAAAGGAGAGAAGGATAACATAAACAAATTCAATTAATTGAACACTCTGAGGCCTCACTCACTCTTAGGAACCGTTTCCACACTCTTCCCATCTCCCTTTCGTCAGGGCTTCCAGTCATTTGTCAAGTTCCATGTTTCCTAATCCTGCATATACTGCAGTCTAGGGTATAAGTAGAGCAATAATGATGACTACAGTTACCTTTACTGACCACTGACTGACTTCCACAACTGCCCTCTGACTTTCCCATGCCTCTCTGGGTTGGGCCCAACAAGGACCATCTGTGTGGCACACTTGGGATTGTCTCATAAGGAGGTAAAAAGTTCAGACCCAGCATGGGAAGGCTCCATTGCGTACCCCATTGCAGAATTCACTGACGGTGGGAACTGGCCAAGACAGTTACTCTTTCTTGGGTTTGTTTTACAACTGTGAATTATCTTGCAGATCAGGACACAAGAGTCAGAGCCCACACTAACTGTCCACCTGGCTGTGTTCTAGGTGCTTCACCATCCCAACCTTACCATCCTACATCTTCCAGTGGGATGCCCAGCGGGTCTCTGAAGGCCCTTTCTCGCCTGCTTCCTGGTTTCCACGAGCCAGGTGAAATCCAGGAACTTCCATTAGTCTCATCTTGTCATTGTTTTTGCCTTAGGATCCATTCTCAAAGCCGAAGGGACCTTCCCAGACACTGACCAGAGAAGAGGGCCAGGAGCCCCTGACAGCTGAAGAAGGAACCAGCAGCGATGAAGAAGAAAGGTACAGGCAGCTTGGCAGCCTTCTGAGTGTGCCGAGCATGAAGACTCACATTGGAAGGATTTGCTTGCTCATTCCTTCCGTCTTCAAGTGTTTATGGCTGGTTTAACCTGATGCTTAGAGAGAGAACAGACAGATCTTGCATGTTCTTCTGCACGGCTGTGACTTTCTATAAACTACCTTGTTTAACTTTCATACCAACATAGAGGACACTTTATAAAGAATCTGAAACTCAAAGAGATTAATAACTCTGCCCCAAGATTCAAGCCTAGACTGCCTACAGCCTTTTCTTCTATTGTCGGGGTAGAAAGGTGAACTCTGTTACCAGAAGAAGCCCCCATGCATCCCACTTATATTAGCTACCTCTGCTTTATTAGCCATCCTCAAGCTATGAGATGTTTACCTCATGGTGAGCTACCTTTGTGCTTGGCTTGGCCATGCTTTGCTGGGTTCACATACCTTCCTCCCCCTAGCTGAGGATGATGTGTTAAGGCTCTGCCATACTAGAGTTCAAGTTTCTGATTCATGACTTTTCATGCTGGGACCCAGGCTGAAGAAATAGTCTTTAACTAGGGCACATTGTTGTCATGGTAATGTAACATTATGGTGGCTTTAATTAGTATATTTTCATATATATACAGGTATATATTTTAAAGATTTAAAATTGGTTTTTATTTTATATGTATGAATATTTGCCTGCATGCATGTGTGAATATCTGTAGAGGCCAGCATAGGATGTCAGACCTCCTAGAACTAGAGTTACAGATGTTTGTGAGCCACCATGTGGGTGTTGGAAACTGAATCCAGGTCCTCTGCAAGAACAGCAGGTGCCCCTAACCACTGAGCAACCTCTCCAGCCCTATACATACATATCTTGTGACTGTGTGTCTGGACCTTCTTTTCTCTGCAAAGCAAAGCCCCCATCCTCATGCCCTTTTCCCCAGGAGCTTTTACCCCCTAACCTCTGGTCCCCTGGCCTAATGTTCTTGCCATAAGAAATTAAAAGTGTGACATCCCTTCACACTGTTAAACAAGACAAACACAGCATTCCGATCTAAGCATTTTAATTTCCAGAGTTCAAGAGTTCAGAGTGAGAAAGTCTCTCCCTGAAAGACATTTGTCAGCATCTTCTCTAAGATGCCAAACTATTTAAGCTTTTGACCAGCTTTTCAACAGGGAGAAGCCTAGTTCCCATCTCCCAGTTTATACCTGGGCTAGCCAGTAAAAATTATGAGCATGCTTTGAAAGTACGGAAGGCTGGGCAAAGTGTGATACTTTTTCTTTTTTTCCATATATAGGAAAAATTACGAAACTTGGTTAGAGACCTGTTTTTTTGGTGCTTCTTGGGTCCCTCAGAACTCTAAGGTCACAGCCTCTTATTTGTTAGGTACTCACTAAGATCATATCGTTTCTATAGAACCTTGTGTGCTAAAACTTACAACTTAAGTCAGGTTGCTTTTTGTAAGACAAAGGTTTCTTATCCCAGTAACTCCTCCAGGAGCTCCCTCCTCCCAGGTAGGAGTAGTTGAAATATCTACAACCTTTCATCATTCTATTGTTCATATCTTCAAAGGATCGGAGAACCCCTCAAGGAAGGAAGTAACCTACAGCCTCCATTGGGCTCTGGGCTAAAGGAGAAGGCAATGGAGACTGGACATCGACCAGAGGACTGGCAGAACCAAAAGGCCAAACTACAAACCCAGGTAGAAAGATAGCTCTGGATAGGCTCTGCCTCAGCCATCCCAGAGTGCCACTGTGCCTTTCCTACAGACAGCCTTGGAAAGTACACAGGGCTAGTTCCCATCTAGCTGATATAGGTCCAGGGCAAAGTAGACATCTTGGGTTTGCTTATTCATTAAAAACTTCCAGTGCTCAAACATACACATAAATAAAAATAAATAAATCTTTTTAATAGAGGGCTGGAGAGATGGCTCAGCAGTTAAGAGTGTTGGCTATTATTCCAGAGGACACTGGTTTGATTCCCAGCACCCACATGGCTAACAACAGACTATAACTCCAGTTCTAGGGGATCCAATGCCTTCTTCTGGACTCCTCAGACACTGCACATGCATGGTGCACATACATACATACATGCAGGGGAATCAACCATACACATAAAATAAAAATAAATTTTAAAATGATAAATGATATAAAAATCTCAAAAAAATTTAATATTTGTTTTATGTGTGTGGGCATTTTGCTTGCATGAATTTCTTCTGTGTGCTATGTGTGTGTGGTTCCTACAGAAGTCAGAAGAGAGTATTGGATCCCCCAGGACTGGAGTTATAGTTAGCTGTGAACCATCATGTGGGTGCTGGGAATCAAACCTGGGTGTTTGGAGGGGCAGCCAGTGCTCGTGACTGCCGAGCTATCTCTCCAGCTTCCCTCCTCCAAATTCTAAATAGAACAACTGTGTGATCCAGAAACCTCATTACTGAGTGAGATCCCAAAAGACAGAAAAACAGTACATCAAAGAGATGTGTGCATTCCTCGCTGCAGAATTATTCACAATCACCATGATCTGGAATTGTAGTGGTTAGGAAAAAACAAAACAAAACAAAATGCAGTGCTTATGAGCACCTACTTTGAGCCATGAGGATCCATCAATGAACAAATCATAAAAGTCCTCATATTTTATACATAGAGGGTATATTCATATGCACCAAAGGTTAAGCAGACAATAAGTAGTTTGTGTCCTGGGTTTTTGTTTCTGTAGGTTCGGCCAACTTCAGAATATATTTGGTGGAAAGTACATCTGTACTGAATGTGTGCAAACCTTTATGTTGCCATAATCATCTAAACAAAGCAGCTCGATGACTGTTAATATAGCATTTGGTATTATAAGTAATGTAGTAAGGCTTTAATATAAGAAGGTGTGTGTGTGTGTGTGTGTGTGTGTGTGTGTGTGTGTGTGTGTGTGTGTGTGTGTGTGATATACAGATACTACCTTGTTGTATATGGCCATGGAGCCAGTCCTCTGCAGCCACAGAGAGACAACTGTATTTTCTGTCTACAGAAGAGGTGCTAAATACTAAACACAGTACACTAGAAGAGTTTCAAGAAGAAAAGCCTCAGTAAGGAGTGAGATCTAAGGTATGGGAGGCTGCCCTGTGGACCTCTGCAAGGTTTCTTTGGTCCCTCGATTTCTCTGGGAAGGTTCGTGTCTCAGCCCACAACCACTTCTTTCCAAGCACTCAGGGTTCCACCTGAGGAGTCTTCTGGAGCACTTACTGCCAAAGTATCCGAAGGTTTACACCCTCCCTGGCCCTTAACAGTTCCAAAGATGGATGTTCGGCAAGGATGAGGTGGCCCTGGGAAGGGTGCCTTTAAGGACAATAGTCCTAAGGCAGGGAGGACCTGGCCCCGAGGCTGGATGTCTGTCTCAGCAGTCCCAGCTGCAGCAGGCTCTGCAGCAATGTGCCAGTGACTACAGGGAGGACCTGCAGGCACTCAGGCAGCTGTCAGACCATGAGAGGAAGAAGCCGCAGCACCGTCTCCAGGAGAGCCTTCAACACAGCCTGGACACCAAGGCCCACCTTGAGCTTGTCCACCAGTGAGTCCTGTGTATACTTGAGAAAGCCAAGGCCTGGAGCTCAAAGCATGGTGACCCTGTGAAGTGGGCAGTTCGCTGGGCATCTGCCCTACCAGTCCCTGCAAGGCTCTGTTGTTCTGCATAATTCTAGTACCTTTTCTACATTAATGAAAAGCTCACAGAGATTCAGCAGCTTGCCAGCCAGAGTCTGGTCCATTGAGTACCTGGTTTGCTTTTTCTTACTTTTGTATACTCTTAGCAACATAAGAACAACTTACATCAGGCATCATGGTGGCACATGTTTATAATCTAGTACCCCAGTAGATGAAGGAGGGGATTACATGAAACTAAGGTCATCTGGACTACACAAGGCCTTGTCTCAAAGAAAAAGAGCACCTTGCTTTCATGTTTTTAGTGGTGCTGTGTGTGATGCATGCCAGGAACTCAGGCTCATTGAGGCAGCCTTAAGAGAAAGGGGAAGAGCAAGCTGAGAAGGACCACTCAGCTGGAAAAAACCTTCCAGAGGGTATAGGAAGTTGCAGTGTGGTGGCCAGGTCAAGACATTTAATCCAGCAGGCACTTCAAGCAACTTCAGCACCTTGTACCTGCTACCTTCTGGCCAGCCTCAAGCATCACATTCCTTCCTGTTATCTTAGGAAGCCTCCTAAAGAGGTGTCTCATAGAAAGGAAGCAGACCTGGAAGAGAGAGTGAAAGTGGCCATGGCCCCATTAGGAACAAACGGGGAGAGTTTAGGAACCACTGTACCACTGGACGGCCTACAAGAAGGCAAGACTGCTGAGGTCCTGAAAGATGTGAGTCCAGGGGAAAGAGCACTGATGTGGACGTTGTGTTGGGAGTGTTTTTCACTCTTTCACTTTTAGAAGTTGTGACAAGGCTCAGTTAAAGAGCACTAATCAAATCTGCTTTCAACACAACAGTTAGTAATTCAAACGAAAGCCAGAAAGTTGAACAAGGGAGTGCTTCCATCACGACAGCTTAAGTTCAGCAGAGAAGGATGTCGGAGTACATGCCCATCTGTTTTTGAAAACCAGATGCCTGTGAGATCTGAAAGGGAGAAGTTATGAGATATAAAACGTGAAATACAAAATCCTCTACTGTAAGCGTAAGATACACCATAACCTCAAAAATAACCAAGATCCAGCAGAACGGAGACACCTGTTTCTGTGATAGCAAACACCAGAAGAAACCACGCACGGCGGGCAGTGCAAGAACAGGTGTGGAAAGAGACGAGGAGCCTGCTTGTTTTCCTGTTGCTTAGTACTGTGCGGTTCTTTATAGTATGGAGCGCAATGCCTTCATAAAAATACAAAAAAAAAAAAAAGCTTTAAAAAGAGAATGGCGCCGGGCGGTGGTGGCGCACGCCTTTAATCCCAGCACTCGGGAGGCAGAGCCAGGCGGATCGCTGTGAGTTCGAGGCCAGCCTGGGCTACCAAGTGAGCTCCAGGAAAGGCGCAAAGCTACACAGAGAAACCCTGTCTCGAAAAAAACCAAAAAAAAAAAGAATGGCACCATGCATACAGACTGTGTGCTAGGCACTCCAGAAAAAAAGAAAAAACAAAACAATGTTATTCTTCTATATCTTCTTTCAAATTTGCCTGCAATCTATAAGAACAACCCGGCTCACAGGATCCTGGGTCTGTCAGCTGCTACAACTCTAGCCTGTGTGTTTGCCTGGTAGGAAGGACCCTGTGAGATGATCATCAGCCTGCCTATTGGTATTGTCATTGTTCAGGACTTGTGTAGGCAGCTATTTCTAGGAGACACAGTCTCGTGGCAGACTTCTTGATCCTCTGGCTCTTGGAATCTTCCTGCTTCCTCTTCTGTGATGTCTCCTGAGCCTTGGGTATAGGAGATGTGTTGAAGATGTAGCCTTTGGGCTGCCCTCTCCACCAACCATTGTTTCTATATTGTGTCCAGTTGTGGTTTTCTGTAATGGTCTCCTGTAGTTGTTTTGTTTGTCTGTTTGCTTGTTTGTTTTGTTTATTTTTACTTTTGGGGGGCCCACCACCAGCTCCCAAATAAATACACGGAGACTTATTCTTACTTATTAATGCCCAGTCTTAGTTTGACTTATTCTAGTCAGCTTTTCTAGTTTAACTCGTTTCTCTTCTCCATTTTGCCTCTGGGCTTTTTTTTTTTGGGGGGGGGGGCGTGTCTCTGAACCTAAGTCCCTGTTCAGGGCACTATCTGTGGGAGGCCAGCTCCCACCTTTTAAAAGGTTCCTATGAGGAGGAGAGAGGAATAAGAAACTTTTAGATAGAAAGATAGCAGAGAGGAGATGGACAGACACACAGGATAGCTTCGGGAGGACCTGGATCAAAATCCACAGGCCCCTTCTGTCTCTTCAAAAGGTTTTTCCATAACAATGCCTAGGGGTGGGGCAAAAGATCAAAGCATATCTTGCAAGATCAAAGCACACTGCACAGCCAAGTGCAGACCCTTCCAAACACCTGATAACTATGCCGTGGTCTAATCATTCCCTTATGCAGCCCTGCTGGGCAAAGCAAGCTCAGATTTCACTAGGAAACCTCTGTGAGCTTCCACGGGCTTTTTACCTTTCTTTATTCTATATGTCTTTCTTCCCGTCTTAACTCTGTGGCTGGCTGTGTGGCTGTGTGATTGTGTGGCTGTGTGGCTGGCCCCTGGCTCCTGGCCTTCTCCTCTCCTTCTCCTTTTCTCGCTCCTCCCTCACTCTTCTTTCAAGCCTAGATTTCTCCTATTTATTCTCTCTGCCTGGCAGCCCTGCCTGTTTTTCTCTCCAGCCCAGCTATGGGCCATTCAGTTCTTCATTAGACCAATCAAGAGTTTTAGGCAGGCAAAGTAACACAGCTTCACAGAGTTAAACAAATGCAACATAAAAGAATGCAGCACATCTTTGCATCAATAAACAAATGTTCCACAGCATTAACAAATGTAACACAGCTTAAACTAATGTTCCACAACAGTCTCCATCTGCTGTTAAAAGAAGCTTCTGTGGTGAGGGGTAAGGGCTGCACTTACCTGTGGGTCTAAAGATATGGTTTAGAATGTAGTTAGGAATTATGCTGGTACAATAAAGTGGCAGTAGTGGGTTCTATTCTAAGATCCATGATTTCAGAAGCCCTGGGTATAAGCTCCAGTCATGATTTTCTCTCCTGTTAAGTGAACCTTAAGTTCAATTAAACAGCTGTTGGTCATTGTGGTGTTTAAAAGAAAATGGCCCCCATAGACCCATAAGGAGTGGCACTATTAGGAGGTATGGCTTTACTGGAGGGAGTGGTCACTGGGGGTGGGCTTTCAGGTTTTAGATACTCAAGTCATGCCCAGTGTGGCAGTCACTTTCTACTGCCTGCAGGTCCATATGTAGAATTCTCAGCTATCTGTCCAGCACCATGTCTGGCTGCATGCTGTCATGCTTCCCACCATGGTGATAATGGACTAAACCTCTGAAATGTAAGCCAGCCCCAATTAAATGTTTTCATTTGTAAGAGTCACCATGGTCGTGGTGTCTCTTCACAGCAATAAAATTCTAACTAAGACAGTTACCATCAAGATATTAAGTGCCACTATTGCACATTTAGGAATATATTGACATGCTGGTCAGTGCTATAATCTTTATGTAGCCAATTTATAATATCATTAAATTATAGGAGACACTGGTCAGAATGCACAATAGTAGGGCAAATTTAATACCTTTGGTTAAAGAGAATAGTAAGGAACCCATGAAAAGTTTAACATCATTATCAATTCTAGCTTGGAGGTAGACATAATAAAGCTCTCTCCTATGCATTCTATTTTAGAAGGCACTTGACATATAAATAAACCAGTGATAATTATTATTAGGACACAGAAGGACTACACCAAAGTCACGAATGGTAAATTAGATACATAGTAATTTAGATGCTGTTTTTGAAGCAAAATTTAGGATGATAATAGGTTATAGTACTGACAACATAAAATTTTTAGAGTTCTTACAAATTTAGGGAATGGTGTTAATGACAAATAGACTTATTTTCTGAAATAAAGTGATATATATATATATATATATATATATATATATATATATATCGATAGATATAACAAAATATTTCTTTTTTCAGGACCAATAAAGGTAGACCAGGATTTCAAATAATGTGACCACTCAAATGGCAGGTTTGGGTGGCTTGTGATTTTGTTTTGTTTTGTTTGAGTGGTGGTGATTTTAAAAAGCAAAATGTCAAAAGAATTTCATTGGCCATATGCATTTTGTACAAAAAGTATTGTTCACTTTGCACACATTAAACTTACCTTAATTATAACTTTGGCATATTTCACAGTTCAGACACACATTTAGCCAGGCATACATAAGGTACATAATGTACAAAAATCACCTAAAAGTGCAGGAGCCATGAAAATCAGGCTTTGCTACTCCACACTGCACAATGTCAGTCATCCACTGTGTCCAAGGGTGACAGCAGCCCCACAGGTCTGTGTGAATACCATGTGTGTGCCTATGGCCACGGAGGGCAGAAGGGGGTGTGGACACCCTGGAACTGGAATTGTAGACAGTCATGGGAACTGGGTGCTGGGTACTGAACTTGAGTTCTCTGGCAGAGAAGCCAGTGTTCTTAGCCACAGAGCCATCTCCATAGCCTCAAAATCTTTGCTTTTTAAGCCAGTTTTTATTAATGTTATTAAAAACAGAGCTGTGTCTTAAGGAAACCTCATTGTTTAAAGCAAGGCCTGGATTTTAGTTTTATATTCATTGTCCTGAATATTGACCTTAGGAATTTTAATAACCAGCAATAACCATACACATATCAAACCTTATATGACTTACTGGAACCTTCTACGACATGCTTCAGCATTCTTGTTTTGTCTCCATCTTTCTTTTTCCATTTTGGAAATATTCTGTCTCTTCTCTTAAGACAATCCCTTATTTTGCCATACAAAAGACTTTTCTCGAGAAAATTCTCTTTTTAACTTTTATTATCAAAAATATATCCTGGTGTTTACATTTTCTCTTGAATCTCCTCTCATTCTTTCTAATTTCTTTTTACTTAGTCTCCTTACTTAGTATTATGAGACAAAACAAGCTTATTTATCAACTTACTTTATTTTATTGTGTTTTGTTCTTTTGAGACGGGCTTTCCCTGTGTAGCCACGGCTGTCCTCGAACTCAGAGATCCACCTGCCTCTGCCTCTGCCTTTGGCATGCAGGGATTAAACACATGCCACCACACCAGGCTTTTATTTACCAGTTTATTAAAAGGAAGCTTAATCCAAATTACATGTTGGACGCAATGTAACAAATCAAGAACACCTGGCCACACGTTGTTAAACTGGTAAGGTTCTTTTCTGTTGTAAGTCCCAAGCAGACAGCATTGATACATGCATTTGTGAGCCAGTTTCCTTTCAGCATTTCATTTCTTTGTCAGTTGCAGGATGTTACATTCCATCAAGAGCTGTCCAAGATTACAGCTTCCAGTGTCCTTGGACAGTGAATTATCTTGTATGAGCAAGACAAAGGCAGAAGATAAAATACATAGACTAACCCCATAATTGCAATTTGGTGTACAAAAGGCATTGACTTCCTTCCAAACTTCGGGAGATCAAAACCAGCAACCCTTTTCCTACAGATGAATAAACATAGTCGAGCATCTTGCCAGAACATGCCCCCAAGGAACTGCTGCCAGAAATAGAGGCTTTGCTACCCATTCTAACAGTCAGAGCTCTGGAATAAACCAGATGGAACGGGACAGAAAGATACTTTGAAATCAGAGGCATGAAATCAGGAATAAAAACAGAACAGAGCAGAACAAGCTAAAACAGAGGCCAAAGCAAGGAACCCGAACCGAAATGTATAGCAATTCAATTTGTTAGGCAAAGGCTCCAGAGAGCGCCTGGAGCAGAAGGGAAGTCCCCAAGTAAAAGGACTTGGCTGCCCTTCTGGAGTTTCTAATCCGGGAACCAAACCCCAAGCCCCAGCCAGGCAGCAACTGTGATTCCTTGTTAGCTCCATGACATGTCAGAGAGTCCAGATGTTGTGCTTGTAGAGTGGCCAGAATGCTGGTGTTCCTGTTTCCAATTCCTAGCGGTGTACCCGCAGATAGAATTGAATTTGAATCTTTCATTCTCGCTTCATTCAGAAAGCCAGTTGTCCAGGAAAGCAGCAGGCTAACATCCTAAAAAACAATCTTAGGTTTCATCCCCAGTCCCCAGATCACCTGGGAGAAGGAGGAGGCAGGAAACAGACAATCATTCCAGAGCTCAGTCTTGCCTCCCCCCACGCCCTCCACCTCCGATGATGAGCCACTTTCTGAGACCTGTGGGGTCTGTGCTCCTGTTACCGTTCCTTGCACTCTTCCCTCATTCAGTAGGTGTTTGGGCTCATATGCTTCCTGAAATGCTGGGTCTAGTTAGTTTTTACTAGTATCAGCCTTGCATCTGAGCTGGTGAGGAACAACTCAGAACAAACTTTTAGCACTGTATGTGTGCTAAGCTGTTAATAGCATGTATGTGTAGATTCCTTTCCCTAAAATGAAATATAAATGTGTCATTATAATACAGAGTAGGAAAGTGCCCCATCTGTCCCTTCTGTTCTCTATCAGACATACTGCACAGGACATGAACGTAGAAAGCTGGGAAGCAGAAGTCTAAAGGGAACAGACAGTGGACCTAAGACGGGGTGATGGAACCCATGTGCCATGAAATCAGAAAAGAGAAAGTTCTTAGGTGGAGGAAAGGGGCCAGCAGAAGCATGTGTGTGTGAGGAAAGCAGTGGAGAGGAAAAAACAGAACAAAATACATGGAGTGGAGATGCTCGCCCCATTGGTGAAGTATTCACCTTACTTTTGTTTGTTTGAAGGCCTGGGTTCCATCCCCAGTATTACATAATTAAGGTGCTTGGAAGGTGGAGGCAGGAAGATTAGTGATTCAGGGTCAGCCTCAGCTACAAAGTGAGTTCTAAACCAGCCTGAGCTACCTGGGATCCTGGCTCAAAAAAAGGGACAAGAAATTAAAAGAAAAAAGAGCAAAGTATAATGAACAAACACACCATCATGAAAACCATGACTCTATCTGCTAGCTAAAAATACTTACAAGGCGTGTGGTGTGGTCAGGCCATTAGTGTGCCACAGTCTGAAAGCCCACCACCAAAGAGTCCCGAGTAACCAGTTTCATGTCCCATTCCTTCTCCTTCTGCCCACAGGCCACAGAGGCGCTCCTGAAGAAGGAGTCCAGTCACAGCCTCCAGATCCAACACCAGGCACACCTGCTGGAGCTCCAGGCCCTAGAGGAGAAGGCCAGACAAGAGCTGCAAGAGCCTCTCCTGCTTGGTAAATATCCCACTATCCACCTGGGAGAGCCTGGCTGCCTGCATGCTCTACAAATGGAAACCGGTGGCACTCAGGGTACACAGGCCACTGCAACAATAGCGGTTCCATTCCCAACTATCCATTAGACCAGAGGGGTAGGGATGGGGTTTCTAGGTTGAATTTTCCTTTTCTATAAAAATGGATCTGTAAATAAAAGGTGTGCGCCTTGGGAGGCAGAGGCAGGCGGATCTTTGTGAGTTCGAGGCCAGCCTGGTCTCCAAAGTGAGTTCCAGGAAAGGTGCAAAGCTACACAGAGAAACCCTGTCTCAAAAAAAAAAAAAAAAAAAAAATGGATCTGTAATTGTCTCTACCTCATAGGGTGTAGTAGCACTTTTCAGCCAGCAGGAGGTGTTGGTACAGCCTGCTGGCAACCTTGGCTGGCCAAGCCAAGCTGAAGGAGGAGATGGCAGGGAGCTGGAGCCGGCACTCAGGGAGGAGAGGAATGCCTCACTCACAGCGGTTTTTCGCTGGTCTGGGGGCTAAGCTAGGGAACTGAGACCGGACTAGCTGCTCCCTTTTTCGGGAATGGAACCATGTAGGTGTTCTCTGGTTATATGGAACTTTGCAGGCAGGTTTAGGTACCTGCCAGCCAGGGAGGAGGCTGAGGGTGGAGCCACCCATGCCTTTGGAATTTGCCCCACGTGAGTGCCAGATATTGGTGAAATTATTAAAGCCACTCCACGTAGTTAAAAGGGAGGTTTATTAGTGGTGTAACTTACAAATGAAGGGATAGGTAGGTTGCAAGGTCTGGGGAAGGTGTGTCACATTCCGGCGGTGTTCTCTAGAGAACTCAGCTTGGTCTACCTCCACCGTCCAGGGTCCAGGAACAGAGAGAGCGGCACATCTGGATCTCCGGTCTTCAGGGCCCTCTCTTGGCCCCGCCTTGTAGGCGTGACAGTTACCAAAGCCTCAGTGGGGGGTTGGAACTTCCAGATCAAAGCTAGAATGGCTACCCACTACAATAGGGTCATTGTGTGCATTAAATGGGATGTTAAATATTACATGTCTAATGTGCAACATGAGTCCAGTGGACACAGACACTATGGTTACCACTCAGTAGAACTCAGATATGAGGCCCGGCACAGGTTTCATTGGAGTGCCTCAATTCTGTGGATTTCCATTCCAGTGACATCTTCAAATTGGGGAGCTCAGGCCCCCAGGCTCCACCTGAATTTCTTCTGCCTGCCTCAAGCTATCCCCAGCATAAAATGTATCTCTGCTTCCATTCTGACTTCAACGCCCCACCCCCACCCCCCACCCCACCCCCCCGCCCCCGCCCCCAGTGTTCCAGGAGTTAGCAGAGGCAGTTAAGATCTCTGGAATTAAGCTATCTAGCTTTCAAACGTAATTCCTACTCTCACTAGCTGCGTGGCCTGGGCAGTCTGCCATCTGTCCAACGAGGGCACCGACAGTGTTCACCCCACAGGGCTACAATGACTTGTTGGGTCAACTTCTCCTGACAGATTCTGGCTGTAGTCTGAATCCTGATGGATAAGCATCTTCTGCCCCCATGAGCCAGCCAAGATCCTGCGCTCATAGCTAAGAGAACTTGTGAATGTTTTGTCTCCTTAAGAACTGACATAAATATCAAGATTCCTGACTTGAGACCCTTGACTCCAGAGCAGGTTCCTTGTTCTTCCTTTGACTTGGTGCCCAGGCCCAGTGTTGCCTCAGGATCTGGTCTAGACTGAGGCCAACGCACCCCCCCACCCCACCCCCGCTACTCCTCCTAACCAGCCAGCAGTAGCCACCCAGGTGGTTCAGAACAAAAAGGAAACACTTGGAATGCTGAATCCTGCTCCACCATTTAATAGCTGCGTAGCTCAGGGTTGCTTACCCTTTCTGTTGCTTATAATAAAATGGAGCTGGGATGGATGGGGGAAGGAGGATGGCAGGGTAGTGGGATTATACATACCATATTGGGTGGTTGCAGGGCACATCAAATGTCCTTTATATCATACCCTTGCTTCTGTGCTCCTGGAATAAGTTTAGGAATGATCTCTCACTCTTCTTCTTTCCAGAGTCCCTGAGGCAGGAGCTGACAGAGCAGCGAGTTGCCTGCTCTGAGCATCAGAAGGGACTCGAGGTGCTCCAGAACGAGCAAAGGGCCCTGGGACCCTTGGGGAAGTGGCAGGCCATCAATCAGTGTCCAAGGAATGGCACAGACCACGCCTTCATTACAGAGGTCAGTTCCCTTGCCCCTGTCCACACCATATACCTTCTAAGACCGCATTAGGCTCACAGAGAACATCCCCATATGGATGGGCTCTGGGAATGAGATCTCTTTCCTGCTGGAAATAGCAAGACCCTGCTCCCACTCTTCACCCCTAGCAACACTGGGTGGTCTGCAGGCTCCCATCTTGGAAAAGCAGAAAGCAGATCGGGAGTGTTGCAGGTTACTTACAGTTCAGATACCTGTTTGTACCTCTTATCCCTCCAGGTAGCTAGCTAGTCTGGGTCATTCTTCCAATCTGTGGGGGAAATATCTCAGAACACTCCCTAGACCAACTCGCTGTTTAGACCTCTCTGGTCTTGTTCTCCAGACCCCAGGCAACTCCCCTTTCTTTTCCTGCTCAGGCTCTGCCCACCAGCCCCTTCCTTGCACATTCCTAATTCCTACTCTAGTTGGTATCACCTTGCAACAATTGCAGCATCAAGCTTCAGGTATTGGGGGTAACACACAGCACGCCATTGTGGCTGTCACTGGAATACGCTCCAGATGCTTCAATGCATCATGGAAAAACCTCCTCCACCACTGGCTACCAACTGCATCTACAGCCCTGTTTTCTCTTGGTCTCCTGGCACCGGCACCCTGACTCTGCCTCCTTGTGATACGCCCCCTGCTTGATGTCGAAACAGCTCCACACTAGGGTCCTTCCACACTCAGAACTCCTGGAGAACTGAATGTTGATACAGTACAATTGACACTTACCTCCTAACTATTAGGACAGTGACCGCTGGGAAGTTGCAAGGTTAAAGACATGGCAGCTTAAAACGGGTGGAATGTGTAGATTATCCGACCTCTTATTAAAGTCTCAGAGGGCCAGATTTAGCCAACACCCCAAACAAGAAGAGACTGCATGGGAGCCCTTCATCAGGAACCTGATACAGCTCTGTCAGCAGCACCCCTAAGTCCCTCGCGCTGAGCTGGCCTTGGCGCCTGTTGGGAAAAAAAAAATTAATAAGTCTCTACCTGCTGCCTTCCCCTCAGGACGTGGGCGTTGTAGAGCCTCCTGGTTCCATGCCCTGCGCGGCCAAGAAGGGGCTCCTGGAGGAGAATGCTCAGCTCCAAGGCACTGTATTACGCCTGCGTGCAGAGGTGGAACAGCACCTGCAGGAGGCGCTGCAGCTGCGTGAGCAGCACCGGTGAGTGGGCCACCCAGCTTCCATTCTTTCCCTTCCCCACATTCCTCCCTCCTCTCTTTCCTCCATCATTGCTTGCGCCTCTGAGATCTGAAACAGGACTCTCCTCTCCCCTCAAGATTTCTTAGACCTAGAATCAGACCCAGAAGAGACAATGTAATGGGATAGTTCCGACAGTGCTGTGCCTTCGTTTTTTGTTTTGTGTGTTTTTGTTTTTGTTTGGTTCTGTGTAGTTTTGTGCCTTTCCTGGATCTCGCTCTGTAGACCAGGCTGGCCTCGAACTGACAGAAATCCGCTTGCCTCTGCCTCCTGAGTGCTGGATTAAGTGCTGAGTGCCGCCGCCGCTGCCGTGGCCGCCGCCGCCACCACCACCGGGCCGGCAGCGCTGTGCCTTCTTAACTAGCTATGGTTGCATCTTGACAAAGGGGCAATGCCATCATGGCTCAGGGGCTCAGGGCAGTAACGGGCCATGCAGAAAGCCTGGCCCCCTACCAAGCATGGAGGAAGCTCCACGCTGGGAGAGTTTCCTTCACTGTTGGAAGGTTTATAATACAAATTCAGCCTCTTGACTGGGACTTCTTAGGGTTCTGTTTCTTTAGGAAAGATTTGTCAGTTTGTTTCGGTCAAGGAATTTGTGTGCTTCATCTGTTTTTGAGTGTTTCACCCCAGAGTTAGTTATTCACAATTTCTCTTGTGTCATCTTAATACACAGAGGATCCTCTTTCCTCTGATTATTTTCGCTTGTGTGTTGTGAACCCTGCTGGGCCAGTTCTAAACTACTTCCCACTTTGATTGTACTGGTTCATTTCATCTTTAAAGCACTTCTTTATAAGAGAGAAGGGAGCCGGCGCAGGGGTTCATACAGCTTGCTCTACCCACACTACAGGTATGCAGAAAGGCTGGGGCTTGCACTTAGGTCAACAAGTGTAACTTTCCCCCTTGGGCATCATCACAACCAAGTTTTTTTAATTTTTCCCAGGCCCCAGTTGCCCAGAGCATCAGGCATGGGAAAGCCCAGCACGTAAGTGGTAGAGAAAATTGAGACAAAGGAAAGAGATGCCATGAGTAATGGCACTGCCTCTAATCCTAGCACTTAGGAGGCTGAGGTAGAGGAATCTTGAGTTCGATGCCCGCAGAAACCACATAGTGAGACCTTTCCGACTCTACCCTGACACCCCCAGAAGGGATTCCATGCCAAGTATTTGGAACAAGGTTAGGCAAATAAGAAGTGGGTGGGGAATCCGTTGTTAAAATTCATAAAATTGAGCATAAACCTGGGGTCCAGGAATGTAGCTAGTGGTAGAGCACTTTCCTGCCATGGACAAGAACTTGTGCTTGAACACACACACACACACACACACACACACACACACACACACACACACACTTCACTGAACACTTTATTAAACTAATCTCCGTGTCAGATGTGTCAGATTCAATGGAGCTGAGAAGGAGCCTGAGAATTAGCCCCTGAATTAGAGTTAGTTAGAATTTGCATTCCTGAAAGTTTCCCAGGCGATGCTGGAGTTGGCGGGTGAAATTGTGGCACCACTCTGAGACTGTGCCTCACCCTTGCTGCTGTAACAGCCAAAGGTGAGGGGGTTTCCAGAACAGAGAATGAAGGACCTGGCCTCCTCCAGACAGAAGCATCCAAGTAAGATCAGCCAAAGGAAACTGGACATGGCGCATGCCCTTGATCTCAGCACTTGGGAGATTGAGGCAGGAGTGCCAAGAGTTTGGGGCCAGCCTGGGCAACATAGTGAGCTCCAGGCAGTGTGAGCTACAGGGTAAGACCCTGTCTCAAACAATACAAAAGAACCAGTGTGAGAGTGTCCACGAAGGGAGCCGACCACAGCAAGATGGGCTACTCACGGGACCCTTCCCACCCTGTGCACTCACATTGGTGTGAAATAACTCAGTCGTCATCTAACTGAGGCCTCCTTCCCAGGTGACCCTGAAATATGAGTTCATCTAAGAAGAACCAGGAGCCTGGAGGCAGTGGTGCATGCCTTTAATCCCAGCACTCGGGAGGCAGAGCCAGGCAGATCTCTGTGAGTTCGAGGCCAGCCTTGGGCTACAGAGAGAGATCCAGGACAGGCACCAAAACTACATGGAGAAACCCTGTCTCAAAAAACCAAAAAAAAAAAAAAAAAGAGCCAGAAGCCCATCTGGCTGAGATGGAGCACCACAGATCAAGAGATGCACCACGTGACCCTAGGCACATCTTTATTCAAGTGAGGAAAGCGATGATCCCTCATCTGGGAGAAAAAACGGCACATAAAAATGTACATGTACTTCCTGAAAGTGGAAGGCTCCCCTAGGACTCAGCTGCAGGACCATTAGGAGCCTCCTCTAGAGAACAATGGTAGCTTGTGGTTGAAAAGGGCTTTGTGCCACGGACTTCTCCAGATATACATGAGCTCAATTTCTCCTCACAATGACCCTGTGAGGTAGGTACTGTGTCACTTCCATCTAACGGAAGAGGACACTGGGCCAAAGGTCACACCGTTAAAATAATAGCAAAAGCCAAGGACTTTAGTAGCCTGGCCCTAACTACCACCCTTTTACCTGTCCCCCCCACCTTTCTGGAAACCCTGGATAGGGTTCTCCTGGGTTTCAGAGGGCTAGGCCTGAGAGAATGCTACCTCTGCCTCAGAGGAGGGGATGCAGGGGAAGGGAGTGTTTTCTCGGGCTCCCTCCAGGTCTCTTTTCCTTCTTCCAAGGAAGGCAGCTCTTTTGACCGGGGTTCTCCTTTGCTGATGTGGGACGATCCTAAGAAGGGTTCCCATGGGGAGGCTTACCCTCAGTTTCATAACCCGGAGACCCCAGGTAGACTTCTCATAAGGCACTTGGATATGACTTAGGTCAAGGCCTTTTAAACTAGGCCACCAAACAGAGCAATGAGCCCCAAAGTCCAAGGGCTCAGGCTCGGAGCCTGGGCGACCCTGACTGTCTTTCATCCATCACAGGTTGCTGGAGGAGGACCAGAAAGCCCAGAGAGCCATGGAGGTGGAGGCACTCCGCCAGGAGCACCGGAAGGAGATGCAGGCCATGGTGGCAGATTTCAGTGGTGCCCAGGCCCGACTCCAGGCCAGGCTGGCTGCCCTGGAAGCCGAGTGAGCAAAGTCTTGGGCTCAGGTGGGGAGGGACTGGCAGGTTACCGTTTTGGGAAGTAACCAACTCATCCTAATGCCCCTAGGCATTCATGGTTTTAAAACTTAGACGTTCTCTAGGTTCCAGAAGCTCTTCATTTCCAGGCAACTGAGGATGGTTGGCCATCCCTCATTTTATTTTATATTTTTCCCATTTCTATTAGTCATTTGAAAATTTCATAAATGTATTTTGATCATATTCACTCCCATCAAGTATAATTTGTACGGCCCATATACTCTTGAATCTGTGGCTATCCACTGGAGGAGCAAATACCAGAGGCTATCCTCATAAAGAAACCTGACTCCCGTCCCACGGCTATCATTTACCAACAGCCCCTCAGCTAGGTGTGGGACTTGGTGTTCACCTGCCATCTCCATGCTGGGATTTTGTCTGTCTTGAGCTTGTACAGATCTCACGCATGCTGTCATCACCATCGTCGTGAGTTTCTCTGTGACACTGCTTTGCTGCGTCACAGTTTTTCCTCATAGTCATTCAATCTTTGGCACTTACTGTCTGTCCGCCCCTCTTCTGTGATGACTCCTGAAGAGGGGCTATGCCGGTCTGTCTCTCTGTCTCTCTCTGTCTCTCTCTCTCTCCTTTCTACCTCTTTCTCTCTCTCTCTCCCTCTTTCTACCTCTCTCTCTCTCCTTTAATTGGAAATAGATTTTCTTCATGCATAATATATATTATTCCTGTTTCCCCTCCCTCTACTCCTCCCAGTTCCTCCCCACCTCCCTTCCCATCCAGATCCACCCCCTTTCTGTCTCTCCTTAGAAAACAAACAGACTTCTATTATAGAACAGTAAAGTATAATATAGTATAGTAAGATAAGACAAAGTCTAACACATTGAAATAGGACAGAAGAAACAAACAGAAGGAAAAGAACCTAAGAACAGGCACAAGAAACAGATAAAGACCCCGAGACCCACTCGTTTGCACACTCAGGAAGCCCATAAAAACACTAAACTGGAAGACAGAATATATATGCAGAGGACCTGTATGGTAAAAAGAGAAAGAGAAAATATGCACAAATAAAATGAAAATTAAAAATAAGATAGAAAAATAAAGGAAACGTGCTGACACAACATTGTGAGACAAAGCACCTCTAAAGATGCTGTTGAGTTTGTGTTCTGTGGCCATCTGTTCTGGGCATGCAGCCTGCCTGTAAGAGGAGTTTGTTTCCCTGGTGAGACTCCCTTGGAGAAAACTAAATTTTCATTTGCAAGGGGTTATCAATTTGAGATAAGCTTCTGGGCTAGGAATGGAAGTATGTTCCCACTTCTTTCAGCTCTAGGATACCATATGGTGCAGAGGTGTGTAGACTCTGCGCATGCTCTTCAATCTCTGTGAGTTCATCTGAGCACCAGTCCTGCTGACTTAGAGGGCATTGTTTTCCTGGTGTCCTCCATCCCCTCTGGCTCTTACAATCTTTGAGCCTTCACCTCTGCAGGTTTCCCTGAGACTGGAGGGGATTTGATGGAGACGTCCTGTTTAGGGCTGAGGCTTCAAAAGTCTTTTGCTCTCTGCATAGTATCTGGCTGTGCCTCTCTGTATTTGTTTCCATCTGCTGTAGAAGGGAAGCTTTTCTGATGATGGCTGAGCAAGACACTGATATATGAGTACAGCAAGATGTCATTAGGAGTCATTTTATTGATACGTCTTGCTTTTTTTTTTTTTTTTTTTTTTACCCTAGGTCCCTAGGCAATCTAGTCTCAGGCTTTTGGTCACACAGCAGTGTTGGGTATGGGTTCCAATCTTGTGGAGTGGGGGTGG